TGTTCCATGACAATCATGCATTTGATTAAAAACAAAACGAAAAACTTTACTCTCAGTCTGCCCACTCTGACTATAAAAGGCCATTGACCCAGCCTATGCACTGTCCAGTTAAAAGCACTCCTAGTGTGTCAAATCCTAAGAAAGACTGTATCAAGTCAGCTTTGCTGTCTAAATTTTTATAGTAACAATGCATATGGCTAGCTGTGGGGAAAGTTTTCCTAGAAACAGTCTTCATGAGCTATGTGATCAGATCTTAAGTGCAGAAACAGTGATGGTGTTGTTCAAATAGCCACCTGTTTTTGGAAAGACTCTCACAGGTCCTGATGGTTTTCTGTAAAAAAGATTGGCGATAGCTGGGGCTGCCTGGTACATATTCACTGAGACATTTCCTGGTGGGTGCTTGACTGCTGTGTTTGTCAGAGGAAATTCCCGAGTTTCTATCTCTGTTGCTTTGACAGCTACTGATCTTAGCAGCTGTATTTTGATGATTAATCACTGTCACCAGCTGCAGGGGATCGGCAGCACTTGAATTTATTTCTTCTTCTGGCTCTCATACCCAATTCATTTTAGGACCTAGAGCAAGTAGCCTAGCCAGCTTGTACCCTTACTCTACAGACAAGGAGAGATCAGTAGGATATAGGAGTATAATGGATACTCTATCTTTGTGCTCTAGTAGTAGGTAACTACAAGTTCCTAGATTTCCTAAGCTATTCTGACCTTTGGCTCTTTGGCATTAATCCTCATTCAAAACTTGTATTTTTTAGGCTGCTGTTGAGCAACTAATGTTTGAAGAGAAGAACAAAGCTCAAAGATTACAGACAGAATTAGATGTCAGTGAGCAAGTCCAGAGAGATTTTGTAAAGCTTTCTCAGACCCTTCAGGTGAGGCATTTGGGAAACCGCTACATAGAGCACTAAGGCAGTTTTGGGGGGAGAGGTCCTTGCCATTCCCCGACGTGACCACTGACAGTAGCAAGAGTTTTAGAGGTCATGGCTGCATCTGCTTCCACCCCAATTGTCTGCCTTGTCATTCAAGCCAGAAACTTGATGTATTCTTCAGACCTCGCCCCTTTTTTCCTTTTCTGTGTACCTTGCCTATTTGTTTAACTGCTTTGTAGTTTATTTTTATTTTTATTTTTATTTTTAGATTGGAAAATATAGTTTATTTAAAAAGTCCTTGAGTCACTTCCCCAAGGTAGGGGAGGGGACCAAAGCTAGGAAAACATGGTGGCCATAGCTCAAAGAGCCACGTGGCCAGACCAGAGCTTAGCAAAGCAATGGCCTGCTTTGTAGTTTAAAGACACCCACAGCGTGGTGTTCCTCCTGGTAAGCCTTCTTGTCTCATCTCAACTCCTTTTTCCAAGGCCCAACTTAGGGTTGCCCTCCCCATGGATCCATGGAACCCTCTCCCGGTAGGTCCTGAGGTGGGCTAAAGTGCCTCCCTCCCTCTGTCATGCTCCCTGGCACTCTGAGAATGCCTATGGTGACATTTAGTATACTATGCTAAACTCTCTGAATGCTTCTTTTTCCCAACTGAACTGTGGATTCTTAAGGGTCAGGAGTCAGATCTCATTTATCTCTATAATCCCAGCACTTCACACTTTGCAGTGTGTGTTACACAGCAGCTTTTGGGAGTTGTTTTTTGAATCAAATGTTCTTGTTGCCTTCCTTCTTTGAAGCGACTACTTCGCTCATGAGTTGATTTGCTGCATCTCAACTAAACCAATCAAAGTAAGTTCAGAAAATCTGGGCAGGAACCACCTGCACTTATCTCACCATTTTTTCTCCAGGTGCAGTTAGAGCGGATCCGACAAGCAGACTCATTGGAGAGAATCCGGGCAATTCTGAATGATACCAAACTGACAGACATTAACCAGCTCCCTGAGACATGACATCCTGATAGCAGGATTCTAGCCTGCACTTTGGGTTTTTAATTCATCTTTAGAGCAAACATTAATTATTATTTAACTCTTAACTGAAGAAAACAGAAGTCACAACAAAAGGAAGACTGAAGAAATGCTTACTTCTAGTGGGAGAAGATGTGCAGCACAGGAACAGCAAACAGCCCGGGTGATTTGCAGCAGAGATCTTTTAAATGGGAACACTAGCAAGACTCTGAACTTGATTCCAACAGGTGTGGGATCAGATTGGGTGATGGAATAAGTGTTGTTTCCTTGCCTGCTTTCTCCAGCACATAGATTTTTGGAACACATTTCCCTCCCCTAAAGCAACATCCCAGTAGTGTTTGGAATTACATTTTCTGTTCATAGATATTGGAAGAGAAAATTTTCTTTTTCTGTTGTCTAGAGCTCATCAGTAACAGTATTCAGCTAGCAGACAGAGTTGTAGTATGCTGTATGAATATTTTATATTAAAATATGAAGGTTTGAGAGCAGGCCATTGGCTACTGACTGTATTTCCCTCACTCAATGCATTTTTTTTCCTTTTACCATTTTATCTTGCATTGGAGGACCTTAAATGCTACTAAAACTTTACCTGAGAACTATAGGACTGTGGCAGACAAAACCAATTCAAGAACTGAATTAATTATGAGGATTTGAAAACTTGGTTGGGCTATATACAGTATATTGGAAGTTGAGGTTAAAGAAAAGCACAAGAAACTTTGGAAGCACTTTTTCTGCATACCTAGATGATCTTCATGGGCCAAGTACCAGGCTAAACCATCTACTCTTTTGAAGTGTTCGAGTTTAGTTATTGGATCAGTGAAAAACAAATATTAATAAAACAAGCTTTGTCTGACAACTTTTAGTATACATTTATAAATCTGCTTATTTTTAACTTGGATCAGTGGATTTGAATACTATTTGTTTCAGATGTGTCAAATACAAAAATGGTGGTAATTAGGTTGACATAATTTGTCTTTTTCTTTTAAAATGTACACCTGGAATGTAAGTGACAATGCTTATGGTAAAGTTAGGGAGAAGCCAGTTAGTATGTTGATCAGTTTAGAAGTTTGCTTTGTCATTTTACAAGAGGTCAGATTACTTTTCTATTGAGAAGAAAGCCTTAACGAAACAGGTCTTTGCCATAGTTTTACGAAATGTTGCAGAAAGCACAAAGAATGGATTCATTTTTCACTCTATCGCTGCTGCAGTACTGTCCCAGGAATAGCCAGTGGAAGCCCACACTGTTTAAGTCATCATCCAAATAGTTCAGAAGTAAAGTTGTTGCTTTCAAATAGTTTTTGTGATTAGTTACATTAACAGTGGGGTGCCTGAAGGAATTAGTGAACTAAGTAGGTTGTTTGGTTCACTTAAAGCCACCGTCAACTTAGTTTAAAGTGAATTGTCGTTGTTATAAATTAAGTCATAATGGACTTGCCCTCAAGATCTTTACTTCTGTCTTCCATAGGACAAATGATAAGGACTACATACATCATCCCTTGGGTTATTATTGTAGTCTTGCATTCATGATTATGAATTTAAAAATAAATACTAATTACGGAAATAGTGCTAAAGTCTTGTACGCATGAAACATTATTTTAATTGGTTTAAGTCCCTTTGTATAAAGTGCTTCGTGGTTTAGATAAAGGCAACATGTATCCTCATTGAGATAAAGGGAATTTTGATAATTGCAAAGAGCAATCAATTTAAATTATATAAGTTTAAGACTAGTCACTTGGGTAGGCCCCAAGCTAATATGTTAGCATTATAAATCAAGATGAGCAAGTCATGATCTCTCCAAACTTACTGAACTATAGGCTGCCAGTGTTCTGCTGAGACTGAGCACCTTACAAATAGCTTCCTCTAGAAGATGGTAGTGGGGCAGTAAAGTAATCATGATTAGGAAACTGTCAGTGGTCTCCACTGCAACAGATGCAAACTGTTGGACTCTACTTTATTAAGAAAAAATATCATAGAAAAACCAAGACTCTAGATTTTATTTAACAATCTATTTCTGGTAAGAAACATACCTACTGTGACAGTATCCAGGTAGGAAACAGTTTTTTAAACTGGGTTTTCTGTATAATTGGGAACAGATTTAGAAGGTGGGATTTCGCCCTTCTAGGCAAAAGAAAACCTCATTTGGGTTTCACAAGTGTTCCTGTGTTTATATTCAGTCTGTACACACATGTTCTCACGCATGTCTAACCTGACTTACCTCTTACCTGTAACATACCACATGGCTTTTAATTGGCAGTCACTCAGCCATTTCTAGGCAGGTATGGTATTACCTTTCAGAACTCATATTGGCAGGTATAAAGCTGAGGACAAAATCAAATATTGAATACCAAGCTCTCTTTCTCTTTGAGGTGCTAAACTTGCACCTTGTGCACACTCAGTAACAAATATCGAGACAAAGAGCACAGCCAAACTCAGCTCTGAAAGATAATACTGCCTGTGAGGAAGTGAGCCAGCAGTGGCCTTTGCAATTGTGGATCTTGAGCTCTGCTCTCAGCAGATTTCAGGTGTAACCATTTGTTAACTGTACTGAAGGTGTGTCCTTAAGAAGAAAGTGTTCAAATTAAAAAAGCTGCTGCCGAGTATACTGTGTGGTCTTTTCCTTTGGATCCTAGGGTTCTGTCCCTCTTCAGTCATATTTCTGGTGCTGCTCATGCCTATAATTCCAGCACTTTGGGAGGCGGAGGTGAGAGGATTGTCTTGAGCCCAGGAATTCAAGAACAGCCTAGGCTACATAGCAAACCCTTGTCTCTACAATAAGTTAAAAAATTAGCTGGACTTGGTGGTGCATTCCTGTGGTTCCAGCTACTTGGAAGGCTGAGGAAGAAGGATCACTTGAGCCCAGCAGGTTGAGGCTGTGGTAGCCATGATCATCCCACCGTACTACAGCCTGGGCAACAGAATGAGACTCCAACTCAAAAACAAAGACAAAACACAGTTCTTATTCTTGCTCAAATATGGAGAAAACTCATAAGGTTCAAGGAGATCTGGCAATGTACAGCTGAAAGTCTGTGTCTCCGATTAAAAAAAAAATCCCAAGCCCTTGCCGAATATAATTATAGACGAGTTATAAAGCACATTCCAATTTTTAAATAAAAGCATTTATTCAATAATTATACAACAAAGTATAAAAAAAGATGAACAACCACACCAAAGGCCATCCAAAATGCCTTTAGAAATTAGACAATGCTACCTGTTTGTTTTATACTATGGGTTTAAGCCTTCAGTGGTGTTAACTTCAGGTGTGAATCTTCAGAAGTTCACATGATTGCGGATATCATTGATTTGCTTCACCATTTCCCTTATGTGTTCACCCCTGTAAAATCATAAAGTTGTTTACTTTTGGAAATGCAGTGAATAAGCAAGCCATTAGTACGAATTCTTGAGAATTTAAACCAGTAATGTTGAAATGTATCAAAACTATTTTGCTCGTCTCTACAATAAATAAAAACTTAACAGCTTAAAGTTGCACATGGTTAGTAACTGTGCTCACTATTTAAGGCAGCAAATGATGGTGCAAGAACTGAAAATATTTTTGAACATACTCATTGTGAAATACAACTAAATCATGTTACAGGAAGGTCATCATTTTCAATCCTCCCACCATACTCATTTCTTAAGTCCCTGTCATATGGTTCTCATCCCAGTAATCACTTGACATGCAAATAAATACCAAGATTCAGGTTTTTTTTTTTTGAGTCGGAGTCTCCCTCTGTCACCCAGGCTGGAGTGCAGTAGCACGCTCATGGCCACCACAGCCTCGACCTTCTGGGCTCAGGCTATCCTTCCATCTCAGCCTTCCAAGTAACTGGAACTACAGGCATGTGCCACCATGCCTGGCTAATTTTTTGAATTATTGTAGAGATGAGGTCTTGCTAAGTTGCCCAGGCTGGTCTTGAACCCCTGGGCTCAGGCAATCCTTTCGCCTTGGCCTCCCAAAGTGCTAGGATTACAGGCTTGAGCCACCACACCTGGCCTAAGATTCAGGTTTTTAAATAAGACAGAGGCTGATTTTAGCATACTATAAAGGAAAAATTATCTCAGTAATAATCCTAGCCTCCCAAAGTGCTAGGATTACAGGCTTGAGCCACCACACCTGGCCTAAGATTCAGGTTTTTAAATAAGACAGACAGAGGCTGATTTTAGCATACTATAAAGGAAAAGTTATCTCAATAATAGTTGATTGGAAGCATTTACTTACTCCTCCTTCAGTATGGACTGAATGCATTTTCGCTGGTAGGCACTAAGGGTAATGGTGGGTTTTTGAAGACTAAGCACTTTCTCCAACTTTTGCTGTTGATAGTCTTTTTTCATAGTAACCTTAAGTATCAAACAGAACACATATTTTAGCTATGGTTTGCCACACATTTTCACCATGTTTATTTTAGTCAGTTCTTTTAACATTTTTATAGAATTATTTTCTGTAGAACAAATGCTTTTTAAAAAAGTTGCAAATTTAACCACCTTGAATCCATTCCTACCTGTTTGATGGCATTGTTCAAATGCCGAAGTTGGTCAGGTATCAGCTGTAATTCTTTCTTCATGTCTCGCTCACTATCAGAGAGGACTGGGAGCTGAGAGTGGAAACTGTGAAGTACTTTTTTCATCCTTGAGAAGACGTAAGTAATCACCTCAGTTTAAGATCTCTACTAACTCGGAGAAACACAATCACAAAGCTCATAATTCACGAATCTGGTGTCTGTGAAGAAAGCCTCATAGAAAGGGTTAGGAAAGAACATTGTCTTCCCTAACATACATGTCAGAAGAGAGGTAGGAGAGGTCAGTTCTGCAGGTAAGTGGGCAACTGCTAAGGCCCATTTTCTTTTCCTTTTTTGAGTTGGAGTCTCACTGTCGCCCAGGCTGGAATGCAGTGGCATAATCACGGCTCACTGCAGCGTCGACCTAGGCTCAGGTGATTTTTCTGCCTCGGTCTCCCAAGTAGCTGGGACTACAGGCGCATGCCACCATGCCCAGTTAATTTTTATTTTTTGGTAGATCCTAGGTCTTACTACGTTGCCTGGCCAGGCTGGTCTTGAACTCCTGGGCTCAAGTGATCCTCCTGCCTCAGCCTCCCAAAGTGTTGGGATTACAGGCATAAGCCACTGTGCCTGGCCCCCATTTTCTTAATATCACTGTTAGTACCTGAGTAGGGAACTAAATGTTACACAGCACACTGACCTGTTCATGATATCTTCTTGTTTTTCCTTGGCTTCCTCATATTTGTCAGCCAAGCGCTCAGCCATTTCCCGCAGACTTTTCCTAAAGGCATAAGAAACAAGACTCTTGGGGTCCACCTTAATGGTGAAGCCAACTGATGTGGTTCAGCATCTTAGAATGAGATACAGTTCCAATCTTACTGACCTATTGTCTTCTTCTCCCTGGTGTTGCCACTTACCTCTCCTCTCGACAATAATTGAGATCTTCTAGTTGTTTCTTTTTTTGGTCACATAATAATTTGACCCTGCAAGAAAACGAAAAAGAGTTTAATCAGAAACCAGGTCAGGGGTATTATACAGCATTAGCTACCAGCCAGGGACTAATGGTTCATGGATATAGGACATCATACCTCCGCTGAATCTCCTCCTTTGCCAGGTCCTGTTTAAGGATGTACTGTTCTCTGAACACCTGAGTGGCTCTGCTGATGAGCTGAAGACATTCTTCAGGAGGAGGAGCTATATCCTTTTCGGATGATCTTAAAAACAAAGTTTCTACCATTATTTTTCTTAGCTGAGTAAAACAACCGAAAATAGACTCAAGTCACGGCTGTTTTTTTTTTTTCCTTTTATTCCTGTTTCTTTCTCAGGTGCCACTTTTCTCCCTCTGTTCACTAGCTGATTAAATATTCCCTATGTTTCTTCCAACTTCACCATAGTAAAAAGTTGTTTAATGTGAAACAGCTGAGGACTGAAAGGATGTGCAGTAATTATGAAGACAGAAGAGAACCCATTTTTAAAACTGCTATACTCAAGCTTCCATACTTCAGAAATGCTGGATTGGCAACACTACGCTGCAAAATACTTCTAATATGCTTTTCAAAGGAATCTGGAGTTTCAGCCAGGATTCGGAGGGGAGACTCTGCCACTTCAACATCTTCTCGGGTACAAAGCAGGGGAGGAGATGCTGGATGGACTGTACTTCTGTAAAATAAATAGATAAATCAGCTAATCAATCGAAGTCTACCATACAGTGATTTGCTGTATTAGAGGAAAGCATAAACACATTTATCCAAAACTTTCAGAAAGTAAAAAACTGTAACTTCTGTTACAGTGCAAGAATGCATGTTTCCTACCTTGCAAGGTCGCTTTGGGAAGCTATATCCTTATTCTACCAACATTGCCATTTGTCAGAGTATTTTAGACTGCCACTTCAAATTCTTTTTGAAAAAACCAAGGCAGCACAAAATATGAATCCATCATGGACTTTTGCAAGTCTCTCTTGAGAGCCAGTTTATAAACCAGAGCCACAAGGATAAATAACTTCTTAGGGGTAGTTTAGGTTTGGTCAAAACCAATATCAAGCTAGATAACTATATATACCATATTTGGTTCTATATAATTTGATTTCCAAAAATTACATCCATTCAAGTGCAAATATTAAAAGATGCAGTTTTAGAAAGAGACTGAAATATCTCACAAACTTTGGCAATACGGTAGGTGACTTCCTTTGAAGGCAACAATTCAAATGTAGACAAGTTTGTTAAACAATAACATTACTTTATAGACAATTTATATTTCAGGGAGTTGGCAGAAACATGATTTGAAGGTATCCAGATGGGAATTCATATTTTTACTGTGAAGTAACCTAGTGTGACTAAGTTGTATTTACTAATAGAAGTAAGGGATTTTAAAGAATACGCTGAGGCAACTAGCAAATAAGCAATTTTCCACAGTGATTTCATTATTTTTGTTTGGTCTTATGGAATTTTACTATATTTTAGTATAAGTAACACAAAATGGACATCCGAATTATTTTCCCTTCCAGTTTAACTTGTTCATCTTCAAAGACCATGGAAGATCCTCTAAGGACAGTAAACCAATGCCAGTCTTCTGAACAGGTGTCAGTGTGAAGAGGTGCATGCTCAGAACTGACACTAAGTGGGTGGGGGAGGTGTCTAGTGTTTGAAACTTCCATGACTTTGGGTTTTGGTACTCCTGTTCCTGCACTTACATAACTCAGAATGACCTTCCATGGCTGTTGGAAAAGGAAAATGGTGATTAGAGCTTAACATCTAAGTTCTTTATGGGGAACAAGGACTATCAGTTCAGCTTTATATCACTTTTCTTCTAACGTGTGCATATTCTAAGATGTCTCTCTGAAGCTTGCAGAGATGGAGAAATTGAAGAGTGTGAGTATGAACTTTTGAGTCAGTCACACTTGAATCTGTTATCGATGACTTCAACATTTATTTAATCTCTCAAGCCCTGTTTCCTCTTCTATAAAATGGGAGTAATACTTCCTTTCTTACAGAACTGTTCTGATGATTCCAAGAGGCAGTGCAGGTAAATGGCTTACTTCTGAGCTTGGCACACAAAACTTGATAATCATGAAGTCTAATTCATATCAATAATGGTGTTTGGGGCAGGATGTGGTGGCTCATGCTTGTAATCCTAGCGTTTTGGGAGGCCAACAAAAGAGAATCACTTGCCCCAAGAGTTCAATACCAGCCTAGGTAACACAGTGAGATCTTGTCTCTACAAAAAATTTTAAAAAGCTGGGTGTGGTGGTGTGTACCTGTAATCCCAGCTACTTGGGAGGCTGAGATGGGAAGACTGCCTAAGCTCAGGAAGTTGAGGTTACAGTAAGCTGTGAGAATGCCACTGAACTCTAGCCTAAGTGACAGAGTGAGACCTCAACTCCAAAAAAAATGGAGTTTGGTATTTTAGTAACTTTCCCCCCCACACTTTGAAGAATAGCTCTTGATTCTCAGGTAGTTGAAGGAGATGCCAGAAACCGTACCTAAAATGAAACCTTCCAGAAATGAGAGGAACAATAGAAATATCCACCCCTACTAGAAACTGACCTTCCATATGACCCAGCAATTCCCCTATTGGGAATATACCTGGAGGAACTCAAATCTTTCTACAAAAAAGATACCTGCACACGTATGTTTGTTGCAGCTCTATTCACAATAGCAAAAACATGGAACCAACCATGTTGCCCATCAAAGCTGGACTGGATTTAAAAAAACGTGGTACATATACACAATGGAATATTATGCAGCCATAAAGAAGGACAAATATATGGCCTTTGCAGCAAACTGGATGGATTTGGAGTCAATCATACTCAGTGATTTATCACAGAAACAAAGAACTGAGTTCCATATGTTCTCACTCATAAGGTGAGCTTGAACAATTATAATGCTATAAGAAAGCAATTGGCAGTAGCGGAAAACTGCTAGGGGAGGGAAGGGCATACCTCATCAACAAGGATAACTGCATGATCAGTGTTTGTATACCTAACCCTGAATTGTACCCCACATCTTTATAATAAATAAACAAATTAAAAAAAAAGAAATATCCATCCTTCTAACCCTTAAGTCAGAAGCCAAACCACATACATATAACTCCAAAGTAGTTACTGAGGACATTTTCCCAGCTTAGATTCTTTAGAATTACCAAGAGCTCTGTGGAGAATACAAAAAAGGACGTACAATAAAGGCCTTGTGAGGCATTCGTAGGTACTGGTGATGCAGATCATCGTGGGCCCCAGAATGTCGGAGACAATCCAGAATCCTCGAATTGGAGCTGACTGCCTGGAAAAACACAATCACTGTTAAGTTACAAAGCAGCAAATGCCGTGGAAACAAGAGCAAAGATATGATTGAGGTGCACAGCCTTCTCAGGCCTGGGCTGACAGTTGCCTGGGACACGTTGTTATCAGTGCAGTAACCTCAAAACTCGTAACTTGGAAACCTTTCATAGAGCTCTGCATTTAACAATCTAGAGCCCATTTGACTAAGTCACTCAGGAATCTACAGCCATACGGTGGTACTCACTGTAATCTCAGCAGTTACATGTTACACCAAAGTTCATTCTTTACATGTCTTTCTCCCCAATTTGCATGTAAGCCTTAAGTATCTGTGTGCCTAGCTCAGTGTCTAACAGATTAAGTGCTCAGAAATTATTAAATGAACAGAATTTCAGAGTCAGCCTCACATTTAACATTCAATGAAGCCCAACATCTATATCATCGGAGTTTGCTTAGTGTGCACAGCATGCATCTCCCTCTCAGTTGTCCTTCCTGCTTCACTAAAGAAACTGGAAACCGTGGCCCTTTGATGGGAACTGTCTTCTTGCCAACACGCTCCCTACCAGCCCTCATGCCCATCCCACCTTTACATCTACACCACAGCACAGTGCCTCTGAATACTGAAGTCACCTCTCACACCATCTGAAGATTGTGTCATCAACTGTTTTGTTTCAAAATCTCCCTATTGTTTCTTTCCCCTCTGTTTACAAACTCTTGTCTATTCCATTCAAAACACTCCCCATTATAATGTCCAGTTCCCCTTAACCTTTGTCTCCTTCTCTTTAGAACCAGTAGTGTTTCAACAATACTAGCTTCCCTTTCATAGCTCCCATTCCTTTTTTTGGGGGGGGGGGGGGGGGGGGGGGT